TTTTTTTTTTCTTTTCATTTCTGCCGCCACGTGTAACTGAGGTCGCTAGCGTGTGAAATCTGGCTCCACGTAGGCCGAAAGAGTCGTTAATTTCCATCACGTGCGTGTTTTCGGGCAATTAACGGGTTTTCGACGAGTCGGGGATGAATCTGCAACTTTTTTTCAAAGTTAGAGGACGAAACTCAAATTGGGTATTCGAAGAGGACTAAATTGTTCAGAGGGGTAAACTTACAGGACGAAAAATGCACTTTTCTCTTTACTTCATCTAACATTATATAGGATTAACCAGGAATCTCCGATTGTGCGATGCACAACCGTCCCATAGTACCAAAGTATTTATGGTTGAAAATAATACTTTCAAATTCTAAACAAATAAATCCAAAAATGCAACAAAAGACTATCGAGAAAGAATTTATGCTCGCAGATGCAGTTAAAAAATATTGATAAAATTAACAAACTATACAACAAAAAATTGATTCTGCGCATGATACGGCAAAAAAATGATACTACGCTGGATTGTTAGTTTTCAAAATTAGGGATAATTGGCCAAACATTATTTATGTGATGACCAATTTGTTGTTAAACCTGCCACAATTATTAATTGGTGTACAAACTATTTGTTTTGCTTGTGTCATTAGTTTTACCACAAGGGGCCGTCAATTATCTTTGTTATCAACATGTATGGACTCCCAACATATTTTGTAATGGATAGAGATATCTGTTCAAGTATGTTATAATTTTATAATAACATCTCATTATTCAGAAATGATGACCTACAACAATTTCCTCTCAAAGCTGATACATTTTTTTTTTTCTCAAAATGGATAACATACTTGCATTTATGTAAATGANATTTCCATGTGGGTAGACACGTGGAATCTTTTTTTTTTCTTTTCATTTCTGCCGCCACGTGTAACTGAGGTCGCCAGCGTGTGAAATCTGGCTCCACGTAGGCTGAAAGAGTCGTTAATTTCCATCACGTGCGTGTTTTCGGGCAATTAACGGGTTTTCGACGAGTCGGGGACGAATCTGCAACTTTTTTTCAAAGTTAGAGGACGAAACTCAAATTGGCTATTCGAAGAGGACTAAATTGTTCAGAGGGGTAAACTTACAGGATGAAAAATGCACTTTTCTCTTTACTTCATCTAACATTATATAGGATTAACCAGGAATCTCCGGTTGTGCGATGCACAACCGGCCCATAATACCAAAGTATTTATGGTTGAAAATAATACTTTCAAATTCTAAACAAATAAATCCAAAAATGCAACAAAAGACTATCGAGAAAGAATTTATG